AATAGCAGATTGAGGTAGAAGCGAAAATTTTCACCATTAAAGACGAAGTATTATTGCTATTCTTATTTGCTCATCGTCTTTACAATGCTATTTGAATAAACAAAATATTAACATTTCAGGCTTCCTGGGGGAAGTTTCAATCGCTGTTAAGAGAAATTTCTGAATAGAATAGGAATAGAACATATTAAAGATAATGCACAGTTTTGGGAAATTTTGAAAATTGGATGGATAGTAATTCTTTAAAGTTTTGATATATTTGGATGCCCCTGTGGATGGATTACAAGTACTAGAAAATGGAGCCCCTAAACAACTTCTGCTTCCGAGAAATTGAATAATCAAAATTTAACGGGGCTCCCGGCTGCAGTTCTAATATATAATTTCCAAACGGGAATAGCAAATCGGTCGATCGTAGTCAAGAAACATTGTTTGAAAGCTAAAGTAATGTCAGTCTTGAGAGGAAGCTATACAACATAAAGAGTTTATTATTTACAATTTCATCACTTTACAGTAGACGCGATTTCAACCGCGACAACGATCACTGAATATTGTAAGATCGCATTTGCTTCCAATATGTTCATTTGAACCACATTCATGACCCCATACCAAAACTTTGTATTAGTACCTTTAAGGTGGAATACAAGATAAAATATATAATGGAATATAAAGTAGACTTTAAGTAGACATTATTATTTGATAATTGTTCGTCTTTCTATTCCTGAATTTCTTGCAGGAGAATAGCATCCGTTCTTCTCTATCTTTACGGTGTGGCTATATGCACGACTGGATTACTTATACTCTCCGATAATCTCCATGTTTTACTCAAGCTCCTCAACGTCCACCTAACAGCGTGCGCTTACTTGCCCATGGTGGCGGTGTTTGTCTGCCCTTTCCTCTGGATGGGCACACCGAAAGATTTCTGGTAAGTTGATCCATTCAGGTCGTTACTGCTAGTTTTGTTGTTGACTTGTTGTTGTTGTATTTCTTCTTCTTGTTCTCCTTGTCTCCTTGTTCTTCATCTTATTCCTGTTCTTATTCTCCTTCTTGTTGTTCTTCTTCTTCTACTTGTTGTTCTTGTTGTTCTTGTTGTTCTTGTTGTTCTTGTTGTTCTTGTTGTTCTTCTTGTTCTTGCTCTTCTTGTTCTTCTTCTTCTTCTCCATCTTCTTCTTGTTCTACTAGTTCTTTTTCTTCTTCTTCTTCTTCTTCTTCTTCTTCTTCTTCTTCTTCTTCTTCTTTTTGTTTTTCTTGATCATCTTCTTCCTCTCCTTGATGTTGTTGTTGATGATGATGATGATTTTATATTTAGATTTCAAGAAAGATTTTACTATTTACATAAGTCTGGTAATGTTTTAGGTAAAATCAGTCCATGGTAGTCGAGTCGTGATATATTCCTAGCTTGAAAAATGGGCTCGGTGTAAAAACGCCAGAGGTAATAATTTGAGAAGTACAAACAAATGCCAAAGGTACAACAAAATAGCAACTTATAATTATAATAATGATTATGATACTGCTGCCACTACTACTACTACTACTACTACTACTACTACTACTACTACTACTACTACTGGGAAGAAGCAGAAGAAAAGGAAGAAGAAGAAGAAGAAGAAGAAGAAGAAGAAGAAGAAGAAGAAGAAAAGGAAGAAGAAGAAGAAGAAGAAGAAGAAGAAGAAGAAGTAGAAGGAGAAGAAAAAGAAGAAGAAGAAGAAGAAGAAGAAGAAGAAGAAGAAGTAGAAGGAGAAGAAAAAGAAGAAGAAGAAGAAGAAGAAGAAGAAGAAGAAGAAGAAAAAGAAGAAGAAGAAGAAGAAGAAGAAGAAGAAGAAGGAGAAGTAGAAGGAGAAGAAAAGAAGAAGAAGAAGAAGAAGAAGAAGAAGAAGAAGAAGAAGAAGAAGAAAAAGAAGAAGAAGAAGGAGGAGAAGTAGAAGAAGAAGAAAAGGAAGAAGAAGAAGAAGAAGAAGAAGAAGAAGGAGGAGAAGAAGGAGAAGTAGAAGGAGAAGAAGAAGAAGAAAAAGAAGAAGAAGAAGGAGAAGTAGAAGGAGAAGAAAAAGGAGAAGAAGAAGAAGAAGAAGAAGAAGAAGAAGAAGAAGAAAAGGAAGAAGAAGAAGAAGAAGAAGAAGAAGAAGAAGAAGAAGAAGAAGTAGAAGGAGAAGAAAAAGAAGAAGAAGAAGAAGAAGAAGAAGAAGGAGAAGTAGAAGGAGAAGAAGAAGAAGAAGAAGAAGAAGAAGGAGGAGAAGTAGAAGGGGAAGAAGAAGAAGAAGAGGATGAGGAAAAAGAAGAAGAAGAAGGGGAAGAAGAAGAAGAAGAATATCAGCGATAATAGTGATTAGTTTATCAGTGATCAAGGCATGCACATGGACATAACATTATTCGTGGTAAGAAGGAAAATGAAGGCTAGACGAAGAGAGCGGGAACCAGCGGGATCTTCTGGGTGCAGCCAGACATTTCTTAATAACAATTTCTCCCAGGAAGCCGAACATTGTAGAGACGATGAACAAGTACAAATAATACTGGAGAATGTTCACTTCTACCCCCCCCCCCCCCTCTCTCTCTCTCTCTCTCTCTCTGCTAAATTATCCGAGCAATTGGATTAAACATTCAAGTGGAATCAACTGTAAAACTAATTTGCCATGAGTCCTGAAATTTCAATTTGTTTTACTGTATGACATAAAAGTATTAGAGAGCAGCGAATGGCGAACGAATAACGATTGTCGCTAAAATTCAACAATCGTTGCTTTTTGCCTAAAAGTTACAATGAGACATCAGGCTACACAGAACTAAGATCGACAAACATGATATTGTCTTGAAAGCAGTCAGCAAACATTAGAACTAGAATGAATAAGAGATAATGCGATTAAGTAAACAAGTGCATTTTGTCCATGTTAAACATCCAGAACCAAATTTCTCAGCTGAATAATCTGAACAGTTATATCAACCGAGCGGAATCAACTGAAACTTCTGAACAATAATTGAAATTCTTCCTGGAAGCCTGACATTTGATTTTCTCCCCATTCAAATAGCATGACAAAGGCGGTAAAAAAATAGCATAATAATAATACTTCGTCGTTAAAGGGGCCATCTCACTGAGCGGTGAATGCTTGCGAACGTAGCGAATTAGGGGTTTCGCCATGGTTCGTCATCAAAGGTTGCACACAAGTTTGCAAACAGTTTTCATAGTTGCAAACAGTTTTTCTTGTCGAAAAGAAATTTGAGCATGCTCATGTTTTATTTTTCTGCAAACTTTTGCAACCGTTTTAAAAACAGTTGTAAGCCTTTGAAAACGGTTTTAAGACGGTGTCGCTGAAGTTATTTTTGATTCGCCAATGCTAGCGACCACGTTACCATATGGTTCCTATGAAAAATCGACCCATTGAGTACCAGGAGTTAACAAAAGGTTCCAAACATTCACAAATAATGGCAAATGATTGGCAAATAGTTGCTAATCTTCGCAAAAACTGTTGCTAACATTTGCTGACAGTCGCGAATAGTCGCCAACTGCCTTTCGCAAACACTTTCGCAAACATTCGCTCAAATGTCGCTAATTGTTGCTAAACACTCTGATTTTGGCCAACATTCGTCAGAAAAGTTGGCAAATCCACATTAGCAATGTTCGTAAGCATCCGCCGCTCAGTGAGATACCCCATTAATGGTGAGAATGTGTGTGTGCGAACAGTAAACTCAACCAACCGCAATCAGTCAGTGTTAAACGCAAACACTTTCTGCTTTAGGCTGTGGGGGTTATACTTCCCCAAAACTTGATTTTCACATTCCTTTGCCCAGGTTATTGCGTGCATGACATTTCACAAAATCTTAATTCTGGCAAATAACCTGTCCTTAACGAATTGCCCCCGCCCCCACTCGCCGCCGGCTAGATCCGCCCCTTGTTGAAACCAATGACATTTTCTAAAGAATGCCCTGATGTGGTTTAACGGCTCTTTTTAACTGTAAACAGGCTTATTACTAAGTCGTTTGTAATTTTTGTATACCTTCCGAGCATGGTGCAGTTATAAATATTAGTTTGTAATGTAATGGTGCAGTTTTTGATAACTAAAATTTGATAAAAACAGTGCTCTTTATATAAAAATTCAACTATCCCTTTAATAGTTCTTAGTGGTCACATCCACCACAAACTTTAGGGCCAATCTTTGACATGTGGTGTGTGCCTTTTCAGTTTGTAGCCCATAGACTAAAACTGCTAATAATTATGTGGGAATTGCCATATACAGTACATGAGCATCCTGTAAAAAGACATACATAGGGGATAACAAAATGACCTATCCATTACAATATCTGATCATTTCTTTTCCGTGTGTGGCATAACAACATATATGATTTGTTTAATCAAGAAAAAGAGATTTAAAGGACAGGTGTATGGTTTGAAGAAAAGAAATGAAGAAAAAAATAACGAATTGACCCCATATTCCGAGTAAATCGCACTTTTATGTTTCATTGCGCCATACATTGTGTGTGTGTAATATCTAACATTCAAATGTATTTTAAACAGATTCATTTTTTCAACTCATAATGAAAATTATATTAATTGGAAGGTCTTCATCAGATATTACATATTCGATCATGAAAATTAAAAAATCACGTTTTGTTTTGTTTACATACTTTCAAATTCCGACCCCAAAATGACATTTTCTAATTATAAAAGTAGGCGTGGCATCTACCCGTATTTTTTTTCTTAGCATTTTGCAAGGGTTTTAGAATGTATGCCATGCATTAGCCCAAAATGCCATGGAATCTTTCTTCTGAGCCCCTTTTTTAATGTTTGGCTTGTTTACTATGACGCGCATAACACTTTACGTCAACAATCAATTAAAAAAAACACATTGGTTTTGTATCTTATCTGAACAAGCCTTATTTGGTAATGATAAGTAATACTAGAGTAGAAGGAAAAAGGAATAAGGGAGAGGCCGGACCGAGGAGGAGGATGGAGAGAAAAATGATGAGAAAGATTTTTTGAAAAGAAGGATCTAAAGGAGAAAGAGCCGAAGAAGACAAAGATGAAGAAGAAAGCAAGTAAGGACAAGGGGAGGAGGAGGAAGAGGAGGAGGAGGAGGAGAAGAAGAAGAATATGTAAGAGAATGATTATGATGATAATGATGATGAAAACAAATGGGAAGGAGGCGATGAAGAAGACAATAGAGATGAAGGGAAAGGAGAATTAGAACAACAATAGCAACAGCAAGAAAAAAGCACACAATTATGGGGGATACGATTTCTTTCTTTTGTAATTAAAAATAAATAAATAATATTGCTTTAATTTGTTCTCCTGAAATCAATGCTTTGATCTCCTTAGGTTCGTAGGTTACTTCGCGATTATAACTGCATTCACGGCGGGTGGGTTTCTATTCGTCGGATCCCTGCTCGACCACGATACCTACTCCGGCATCGACCACCCCGACGAAGTCGAGGTCGATGAGATCTTTTCATCCATGGGTGACATCATATTCGCGTACGCCGGGCAGTCTGTCTATCCTACCGTGCAGCACGACATGCGAAACCCAGAGGATTTCACCACCAGTGTTCTGCTAGGTTATGCAAGTGAGGAAATACACCGGGGGGGGGGGGGGGGGGGCTCTCACATTTTAAGACATACGGGGTGTGCCGCTCTAATGGGTAACTTTTTCACACACAAATCCCTAAACATGGATCCCATTTTAACCAAGACACCCCTTAATATGGGTTCGCTTTTTTAAAATTGTCCAGGTTTTTATCATGAAAACACCCAATAATTTTGAAAAATGGGCTTTACTTAGAGAAAAATCCGCCAAAATGACCCTTAAAAATTGGTAGGGGTTGCGAGGCTTCAGCGGCACATCCCCGTCAAAACCAAATCTGAGTACCCCCCTCCTGGGGGAAACACATTGAGATGAATATGGCCGATAACAATAAAAGCATGAAATTTTATGGAGCGCCGATTATCAGCCTCCTTATCCCACGAAAATAACAGTATTAAAAAAAAATGAAGTTAAAACCCTGTCAACAGGAATTAAATTTTCATTTTCATTTTCGAGATTAGTTTAATTATGTTTATTCATTTTGTTGCGGAGTCAGAGTATTAAACTGCATCTCACTTGCTTGTACAATATCACTGGTTAACCTTGACAAAAGCGTATCATATATAAACTCTCTCTAATAGTCTTGTCTAAATAACTGTGCACCAAATCATATATCCATTTTTGTTTAAATATCAACCTGATCACAATATCAACTCCGCTCTTCAAAACGATCCTACACTCCTCCGATTACCACGTGTAAACTCGAAATCGTGGGGAGTGTAGTTTCTCTTTTTACGGATCCCAAAATATAGAATCCCTTTCTTCTTTTAGCCGCACTTCCAATTCGATTGAATCTTTTAAGAATTTCAAAACGTGCCTCTTCAATAACTGAATGTTCTTTTTATCATAAATTTTAAAGTAAATTTATACCCCCTTTCCTTATTTTCCTTATTTGTCATAGCATTGATTGTCAAGTCAATCGCATATTCCATACCTCATGTCAAGCAATAGAATTTTCTTTACTTCGTCGACAATTTTTTTTTAATCTAAAAACAAATCTACCGTATTGTATATAATTCAGGATTCCCCCATCGCCGTTAAAATACGTAATCCGTCAACAGGACGAAAGGATAGCGATATTCTAGAAAAAGAACAAATATTCTTTGCATACGGTTGTCGTAATACCCTATCAATTGTTTCGTATCTACTGTTGATAAAGTAGAAGCCCAAATTATATTTCAAGCTCTAAATACCGTTACTTAAAAGACTGTTAAAGCCCCATTGCACCACTTATAGCTACTTGCGCCCTCTATACAGCCAATAATGCCTAAGCGGTACCCGTTGATCCCCCATGATGCCCTTTTTCTTATGTTAATTGAGAGCTGATTTGATGAGATAACCACCTGCCAGTGACCTTGCAGAGAGGTCTAAATCCTCCTTGCCAAACTAGTGCAGAAGGGATTTAAATTCATTTCCCAATGCACATTATTAAATTATAAATATGAATATTCACATTCATACCATATATGCTCCTTACAGTTACAGCGATCATCTACTTCCCTGCCACCATCACGTGTCTCATCATCTACGGAGAAGGCTATCGTGCGCTCCATGCCTCCAATATCCTGGATATAGTGACGTCACACTTCATCACTGTACCGTTCATCATCCTCATCATGTTCTACACGATTCCTGTCATCATCATCACATCCAATCCGTTCTTCCAAGACGCTGAAGATTTCTTCAATATTCCTTACGGTAGGGTCATTTACTTACATGTACATGTTACTCAACATATGTAAAATGAACGGCTTACTGATACATATAAAGTCATGGAAGTTTCTGTCCTGGGAACCTAGTGACGAGTTATCCATTTACCTGTTATTCATTCATTGTACTCATTTGCTTACTTACATTCTAATCAATACTTGGTACATTTTCATTCGCTTGTTCATATATATATATATATATATATTAGTATATTCCTTCATTAGTTTATTTACTTACGGCTTAAATGGTTAGTTTATTCTTTTGTCCATTTATGTACTTCATTTATTTATTCAATAATATTACATCATCTAATTCCTTATAATTGTACTTAATCATTCTTCTATTGTTTACTTTGGTTCTTCATTTTGTCCGACAATTTTACCATCATCCTAACCAAGTCCTCAAGGACAATTCTAGTGGTCATCATCACCTCCAAAGCGTTATACCGGAATCCCTATGTTTCGACACAACTATGTTTCCGACACCCCTACATTCCGACACCCCTACATTCCGGCACCCCTATGTTCCGATAACCCTACATTTCGGCACCCCTATGTTCAGACACCCCTACATTCCGGCACCCCTATGTTCCGACACTCCTACATCCCGTCACCCCTATGTTCCCACACTCCCTATGTTCCGATAACCCTAAATTCCGGCACTCCTATGTTCCGATAACCCTACATTCCGGCACCTCTATGTTCCGACACTCCTACATTCCGTTACCCCTATGTTCCGATAACCCTACATTCCGGCACCCCTATGTTCCCACACTCCCTATGTTCCGATAACCCTATGTTCCGACACTCCTACATTCCGTAACCCCTATGTTCCGATTACCCTACATTCCGGCACCCCTATGTTCCCACACTCCATATGTTCCGATAACCCTACATTCCGGCACTCCTATGTTCCAAAAACCCTACATTCCGGCACCCCTATGTTCCCACACTCCCTATGTTCCGATAACCCTACAGTCCGGCACCCCTATTTTCCGATAACCCTACATTCCGGCACCCCTATGTTCCGACACTCCTACATTCCGTAACCCCTATGTTCCGATTACCCTACATTCCGGCACCCCTATGTTCCCACACTCCATATGTTCCGATAACCCTACATTCCATCACCCCTATGTTCCCACACTTCCTATGTTCCTACACCCCTAGGTTCCGACACCTCTATGTTTCCGAGACCCCTAAACTCCGGCACTCTTATGTTCCCATACTCCCTATATTCCGCCGTACCTATTTTCTGACTCTCCTACATTCCTTCACCCCTATATTCCGACACCCTATGTTCCGACACTCCTACATTCTGCCACCCCTATGTTCCCACACTCCCTATGTTCCGATAACCCTACAATCCGGCACCCCTACATTCCGTCACCCCTATGTTCCGGCACCCTTATGTTCCCACACTTCCTATGTCCCGACACCCCCTATGGTCCTACACCCCTAAACTCCGGCAATCATATGTCCCCATACTCCCTATATTCCGCTGTACCTATTTTCTGACACTCCTATTTTCTGACACTCCTATGTTCGGATACTCCCTGTGTTATGACACCACTATATGTTTCGACACCCCTATGTTTCGAAACTCCCTATGTTCCGCCATCCCTAGGTTTCGACACCCCTAGGTTCTGACACCCCTGTCTTACTTACTTACTTGGTATACTTGGGTGTAGAGACTGGAAGCTAAAGCTTATTTGTCCCTCTTTACTGTTGCATCCCGTCTCAGTATGGTTCAAACTTAATTGGATTGTTTCTCCAATACCTTTCTAGGGATGACTTGAATTGGTTAATGGTGGCAGCATTGACTACTTCCTTAGGCAGAGCATTCCAATTATTTACACTCCTTATTGAGAAACTATACTGCCTAAGTCTTGTGTTGAAACGTTGTTTGACAATCTTGAAATCATGGCCTCTTGTTGTTGAGCCAGTGGCTAGTTGGAAGAATTTTGAAGGATTCACTCTGTCAAAGCCTTTCAGGATTTTGAATATCTGTATCTGATCTGCTCTTTGTCTTCTGTAAGCTAAAGTAGGAAGTTGTAGTTCTCTAAGTCTGTCTGGGTATGCTTTTTGTCTCAGCTCAGGAAGAAGTCTGGTGGCCCTCTGCTGGACTTTTTCTAGTATGTCTTCATCTCTCTTGAGTATTGGGCACCATACAGAGTTGCAGTATTCTAGTGTTGGTCGAATAATGGTTTTGTAGAGACTAAGGAACCCCTTCTCTTGCAAGGCTGAAAAAGACCTTCTGATCATTCCTAACTTAATGTTGGCTCTGCATCTGCTGCATGGGTGCTGAAAGACAGGTCCTGTTGAAACAGCACTCCCAAATCTCTTTCCTCATTACCAGATGGAACTGAAAATATATTTGTACCAGCAGCCAGTGTGTAGTCAAAACCTTGGTTCTTTCTTCCATAATGTAGTACTTTACATTTACTTTCGTTAAAGGGCAATTGCCATACATTGGACCAGTTTGTTACGGTGTTGACATCCATCTGTAGCAAATCTGAGTCGGCTTTAGAGTCCACTGTCCTGTATAACTTAGTGTCATCGGCAAAAAGCTTCATGTGGGAGTCAACAGTTGATGGCAGGTCATTGATGAAGACATTGAACAATGTTGGTCCGAGCACACTTCCCTGCGGAATACCGCTCGTCACAGGAATGGATCTCGACTCTTTCCCATTTACTGTAACTTTTTGAGTCCTGTCTGAGAGGTAGTCTTTAATCCAGGCAAGTAAGGGACCTTCTATTCCGTAAGATTGAAGTTTACATATGAGCCGTTGATGTGGCACGCTGTCGAATGCTTTTCGATAATCCAGATAGACGCAGTCTACATTATGACCCTGGTCAATGACATCTGTCCACTCCTCGCAAACTTCTAAAAGTTGAGTTGAGCAAGATCTTCCAGTCCGAAATCCATGTTGTTCATCACACATTAACTTGTTCTGTTCTAAATGATGTATGACACGCTTTCTTACTAGTTTCTCCATAGACTTGCATATAATGGATGTCAGACTCACAGGTCGATAGTTGGCTGGGTCATTCTTCTTGCCCTTCTTGAAGATTGGAACCACTGTTGCTTGTTTCCATACTGATGGATTTTTCCCTTCGTTCATTAGCTTAGTAAATATTGTTTGCAGTGGTTCGACAATCTCAGTATGTGTTTCTTTCAGCACACGCGAATGAATGCCATCAGGACCTGGAGATTTGTTGATGTCCAGATGCATTAACAGGCCATCGATTTCTTCGGGTGTAAATTCAATGATAGTGAGAAGATTACTGCATTTCTTGTCAAGTATTGGAACTGTATGAATATCCTCCACTGAAAACACGCTACCAAAGTACTCGTTAAGGGTCTCGGCTTTCTCTTGGTCCTCTTTAGCCCATGTTCCGTCAGGTTTTTGTAGATCAGGCAATGATGGTTTTGATTTTGTCTGTTTCTTTACATAATTCCAGAAGCTTTTGGCATTCAATTTAATTTCAGCTGCTAGTTTGTTTTCGAAGTCAGATTTTGATTTTCTGATCACAGAGGTGGTTATGTCCCTTATTTTGGTGTACTCCCTCCAGTTCAAATCCACATCAGGATGTTGTTTTCTTTTACTCTTTCGATATTTATTCCAAGCTTTCCTTTTCTTTCGAACTGCTTCAAGAGCTTCACTGTTCATCCACTCTGGTCTATTCCGCTTTCTCTTTTTCTTCAGTGGGACGCAGTCTTCTATGGTTTTATGGAGAATCTCCTCAAATATATTCCAGGCTTGTATTCCAGAAGTATTTTCAAACTTAGAACTCCAATCAATGTCCTTCAGTTGGTACCTCATTTTATCATAATCTGCATGATAATAGCTTCTCGTAGGTAACTCCTCCTCTGCCTGTATGTTGCCGACATCCATCTCGAAGGTAATGGTCACGTGGTCGCTTTTGCCAATGGGTGGCCCAATAGTTACATCACTGACTGTATCTTCATGACTGGTTAAGATCAAGTCAAGTAAGCTAGGTCTTTGGCCTGTCCTTTGTCTGGTAGGTTCCTTTACATGTTGGTGCAGGAAAAGATCGTTCACAGTGTCAATAAATAATTGTTCATCATTGATACTGACTCCAGAGGTGGTGTTTGCCTGCCAGTTGATTCCTCTGTAATTGAAGTCCCCTACCACTATCAAGTGTGAATACTTCATTGAACACGCTGTGCGTAGGAGACAGTTCAAGTTTGTATTGTTCTCAGAGTTGCTAGAGGGACTTCTATAGACACAGCCAAAGAGAAGATCAGTGCCATTGGTAGACAGTCGTATCCATACAGTTTCTTCAAATTTACCTTCATCTATGTCTACCAAGCTACCAGAAATCCCTTCTTTCAAGTAAACTACTACTCCTCTCTGTCTGACTTTAAGTTTTGCTGGTAAGAACATATGGTATCCTTGTAACTGTAATTCAGTAGGTTGGATTGCATAATCCTGGTTGATCCTTTTAGGGTAGATCTCAGTCAGAGCTATTACGTCTGGTTTGACAAGTGAAATAGTTGTATAGAGCTCTTCCTTCTTGTTTGTTAGAGTATCACAATTTGTGTAGAAAAACTTAATTGATGACTCAGTTTGCAAAATATAGTCTGGATGGTTGGTTAGATCATTAACCTTCTCCTGTTCAGTAACCTTTGAAGATGGTGGATCAATCACTGGTGCAGTATACTCAAAGTTTAAATTTGCACTGTGTGCTGTGCTCTGTGCTCCACTATATACATCGTGATCACAATACTGTGCAGTGCTGGTGAGTGAGTTTAAAAATCCATCTCCTAATTGACTAGTGGTCGCCGACTCCTTCATCGCGACGAAAAGTCCGCTTTATTACCTTTCCGCCCCGTATTACAAGGTTCTCTTCGCCTCTTTCAATTCTCTCCTTCAGAACATTTCTTAGTCTCTTGTGTTCCTCTCTCTCGGCCTTCGTGCGATCTCTGGCGATCTGTACTGTTCCTGACTTGAGGGACCTAGCTCCCCTTAAAACTTCCTCTGTAGCAGCTCCATTATCCATAACAACTTTCAATGGTCTAGCTAAATCAGACTTTTTACCAAGGCGGTACAGAGATCTTACATGACTGACATCTGCTTTCAGCTTGAGGTCTTGGTGAAAGATAGAGTTTATCTGGTCACGATCTTCTTTTTTTCTAACTTCGGTATCCTGACTTTGAGATTCTGGAATGCCGTAAACAATGATGTTGTTCTTCCTTCTCTCTCTTTCCACAAAATCATCCAGTTTATCTGCTACCAGTTTCTCCACCTCTTCTGTTGAGCATTGTGGTTCCTTGCTGTGGATCGACATATCCTTTTTGAGTTCATCAATTTTTTCTTCCATCTTTTGTTGGTTGTTGGAAATCCTTACTTTACATTCCTTCATTTCATCTTTCAACCCTTTCACCTCTGAAGTAAGTTTAGAGTGATTGGTCTGCAATGATGATAGCATTTTCAACATGTTCCCAGCTGTACCATTGCAGGTTCGGCAGTACCAGTGTAATGCACCACAGTCTATATCGTTGATGGTATCGTACAGCTTTTTGGATACATTTTAACATGTGCAGTGAAACCAAAATTTGCAAAGTTCGCATTCAATTGCATCATCTTCATCCATTACAATAAGATTGCAACTGCCACAATTGTGGTCTGTCTTTGATTTTGAAGAGCTTGTTGAGTTTCCCTGGCTTCCATCTGCAATTGCTGCAGCAGTAGCGGTGCTGGTCTTCCTTGTCACTGGCTTACTCACACTTGGTTTCCTGCCAGGGCCGGACATCTTGATAATATTCAGAGTAAAGCAGTTGAACTATTTAGTAGAAACTAAAATCAATAACCACTGCTGGTGTCAATCCTCATCAGACATCAAACATAAATCCTCATATATGGGACTGATGTGACCATCCAGGCTTTAAAAAGCCATGTTCAGAACTGTAAAATATCCTTAAAAGTCACTGCAATCAAAACTAACAGATTACTCACATACTTTGGAGCGAGGAGAAATCAATACCCACTGCTGGTGACAACTTGAAAAAGTTGTAAATCCTCAACACAACAGACATCAAACATAAATCCTCATATATGGGACTGATGTGACAATCCAGGCTTCAAAAAGCCATGCTCAGAACAGTAAAGTATCCTGAAAAATCACTGCAATCCTCCTCAGAACAGCCTCAAAAATGTATCCAAAGCAATAAATAGATCTTCCTTGGTTTCAAAGAAGACTTTTTGATGAAATATCTCAATCCTATCACCAGTAAAAAAACAGAAAATTTAAGAGCAAAGTTTCACTACATAACACCATTAACCAACCTAGTCATTATTTGTGTTCCCTTCTTGCCTAATCTTGGGCTTGCATGTCTTGCAAGCATCTTACCTGCACTCGTTCGACACCACTACGTTCCGCCATCCGGCCGCCATCCCTATGTTCTGAAACCCCTATGTTCCCACACTTCCCATGTTTCCGATAACCCTACATTCCGACACCCCTACATTCCATTTCAAAAGTTTTGGCGATCTTGATCACATCATTTTTCAATTTTTCATTTTTTACATTAGTGTTTACATGGAAGCGGTGTTTACTACGGTCCTTGTACATACTCCTTCTCCTCTTCGTCGCCATGACTTTCCCGCACTTCACGATCTTCTTGCCGCTGATCGGTGGCCCATTAGTAGCAGTCGTCAATTTTATCTTGCCCATCGTCATCTATGCCAAGCTCGTACGGATGGAACCCCCGGCCAGTCCACCGGAAAGCATGTAAGTATTAAAAACACTGTGTCCCCCCCCCCCCCCCCTCCACCGAAAAGAAAGGAGAGACAAAATTAAGAAAATGATAATAACAATATTTCTTGTTTTCTTGGGTAGCCTCATCAGTATTTATACAGCACAAAACCTGTACAAATATTAATAACAAAATGTATTTTGCCTCCCCCCAAAAAATAAAAAATAAGAAGAGATAAACAAAATGGGAAAATAAGAAAATAGTTGTAACAATACATCTTGTTTACCTAGGGTAGCCTGATCAGTAGTGATACGGCCAAACCTGTACAGATATAAATAAAAACATCGTTCCCCCTCCCTTCCAAAAAAAAAAACAGTGCGAAAAATGAAGAAAATAATGATAATAATATGTCTTGTTTACACAGGGTAACCTCATCAGTATTAATACTTTAGAAAACCTGTATAAATATTAATGAAAACAACCCCCCCCCCCCCCAAAAAAAAGGGAGAAATAATAAATATAATGTCTTGTTTACCCAGGGTAGCCTCAACAGTATTAATGCGGCACAAAGCCTGAACAGCCATTAACGAAGCATCCATAGGTTTAATTGTGATATTCGACCCCAACACATTTTGCAGGCCAACAAATGAAAAGGTTAAATTCCAACGGCATTTGAAAGATAATACTAATTTTAAACTTCCATCTAAACGAAAGGGCGTGAAACCGTCTTTAAGTGGGGGAAAAAGACCATTATAGTTGTCGCATCGACTTGATTGCAATCACTAAAATAGAATAGTCTGATTTTTATACCTCTGTACCGAACGGTCGTACGTTTTTTGCTGCGCAAAGATTTAATCAGTTTAATTTTGGCCATTACAAGAATTGGGTTATTGATGTTGACAAATGCTCATGTATCCTTTAAAGCTCATTTTATGAATGTCATTACCAAAGAAAAAACGGAAGTCAATCAGTAACTCGACAGTGTCCGACAGTGAAATCTAGAAAGTAAATGGGTTTCTTTGCATAATTTGAATATTAGGACACTGCTAACGTTTGCATTTCACAGATAGGACGTGTTCATAATTCCTGCAATGTTCTACAAAATGTGTTGTTGGCTGCAAATGGGACATCGTACATTTAAGCCACATGCTTTCATGGTATTTCGCCTTCTAAATCGTTGTACGCGAATGTAAATTTCATTTTGTATTTGTTTGATTATAAGAAGAAGGTAATGTGTGTTGAATCTTGAATCTTATAATATAATGCACTATGAAATGTCGATTATTCGTTTGGCTAATGGTTATTATTATCATCAATTTATATTATCTCATCATTATACATGTAAAAACAAATGTATACTCTATCATTGTTACTGATGTAAGAAAAATTGTACAGTGGGTGGTCTTTTCGCTCTCTTTTTATAACTGTTTTGTTGTTGTTGTTATATTTAAATTACAGTATTCCCGCGTGCCTTACGAACACTTGTCACGTGATCATCGTGCTCGTAGCCATCCTCGGTGCAGGGATGTCGTCCGGTGCTGCCGTCTATCATCTAGTTACAAGTCACGATGGCGTATACCCACCGTGCTATTCTAATATAAGTAACTTCTACGACTTCGGGCTTTAAATTCTTATTAAATAGTATACCACACACATATATAACCCCACTGTGCATATTGTATTTGTATCTAACTGTAATACACATCTGTAATTCACTGAAAATGATCATTGTGATGGGGTAATTGCAAGAGTCTATATACTATGGTCTAGTTGGTGGCCAGATGCCAATATTACCTATATTAATATTGATGGTATGAATATGGAAAAGGCTGCAATATTATGCAACTGTTTCCAGTGTTGGAAAAGGCAATTCTTCCGCCAATAAGTGCCTAATGTTGTTGTCATCATTATCGTGTCACAGTAGAAATAAATATGAGTATATATTTCTTAATTTACTTAATATGGGTGTTGTTGTTGTTTGCCAGATATGTTTTTAGGTGGGGAAGGGTTTACAGCGTTATGTGGGAACTTGGGCTAAGGCTTAACTTTAAAGATACAATGTCCCTTTTGCAGCCAACAACAAATTCTGTAGAACTTTGCAGGAATTATGAATATGTCATGTATGTCCTATCTGTGAAATTTAAACATTAACATAACCCACTATACTTGTATGGCTAAAATTAAACTGATTAAATCTTTGTGCAGCACAAAACGTACGTCCATTCGGTACAAGGGTCTGAAAATCAGACTATTACTTAGGTGATTGCAATCACTTATGTCGATTCGACAACTAATGGTCGTTGTTTTCCCACTAAAAGCCTTTTTTCAAGCCCTTTCATTTAGAGGGAAGTTTTAAATTAGTATTGTCTTTCAAATGCCGTTGGAATTTAACCTTTTCATTTTTGTTGGCCTGCAAATGGGACATAGTACCTTTAATGACGTATGGTAGATTTGGATTCGCAATTGATTCGCCACTGATAACGATCAATGACAAGGCTACTGAATGTGCCTTTGAGTGAATTTCTTTAAAATCTTCCATACTGCTTTGTGTTTCCAATCATGTTATGTATTTGAATGAAACATTCTAAAAGTAATTGTGTGATAGCTACAGATATCTATTTATATGAAAAATTTGATTGTTTATGATATAGATTTTTATTGTATTTATCGACCAAAATTATTTTTTCAAACGAAAAATTATATTCGGTCGAAGGTTCGGAGTCGGTGTGTAATCGGTTTGGAGGTATCAGGAATCAGTCACACCATTAAACCGACGCAAGACCGACAACGAACCGAGAACGAACTTGCAGTTCGACGAATGGACAAGAATCGATCGGTTTGGAGTCGGTGTAGGGTCGGTTTTGTGTGTAGTGGCTTAGGACTAATAATTTGTCTAACCGATAAGACCGACGCAAGACCGGCTACGCATTGAACCGGAAGTTCAAAATTGACCCAAGAATCGGTCGGTTTTGGACCGGTTTGGATATTATTTGATACAGGGTGACTGAGGTATAAATAACAGTACTGTAAAATGGTTATATCATATTGCAATAATGGTATTCTATTTTGTTTTGTTTTTTCTCATTTTTTCTGAAAGTTAATATTTAATAGTAATTGTAAATATTAGGCTATAGACGCTATTCATTCTTGATTACATATTTTGTGTTCGATGGTTCGTTAAAACAGTGCTCAGGATTTACTAGTTTTAGTATCAGTATCATTTTGTTCGGTACCTTCGAAACAGTCCAAACAACCTCGATCGCCTCTGGCGTATTCAATAGACTGTTCCAAAGGTACCTTGTATGGGTAATTCTTACTACTGACCTCACTGTTGTGTATCATTTGTTTTTATATACCTCACTTAAGAAATCCAGCCATCTGATTGGTCGAAATTGCATTCATAAACTTCAACTATTTCTGTAAAATTCCCAGTAACCATGGTTATTGGGAAAATAGTTCAGTCTCCATGGTTACCCAATAGGTTTACATGTTAAAAAATGGTCTGAGCGATCGAGGATACCGTACGTGTGCGAAGAATTGGTCGGTAATTTCAATACAATTGAATCTCGATCGATCTTACCGACAATTTTATCTTGCATTGTTGACATGAAGACGAAAATAAACTTCCAAAAACAAAAAAACAACATCTGCCGATAGATCTTGATCTAAATTCGTGCCAATATGCATTGCAAAAGTAAAAGAAGGGCCTGTTTAATGGAGCAGCCGCGAAGCATCCACCACGCGAAGCCGTTTTCAATCCATTTTAATGTATATATAAGAAAAAACTGCCATGTATGGTAACAGAGTGTGATAGCCGAGCGGTTTAAGGCGGTGATTTTAGTTACATCACCTTTTGTACGCAAGAGATCGAATCCCATCTTCGACAAAAGTTTTTTTATTTTTTATTTTTTTTTTTTTTTTTCGGCATATAAAAGTATTAATGACTTCTTTAATATTCGAGAAATAGTTGTTTTTATACGCTCTCGGGAAGGTTACAATTGGGCTATTGCCCTCGGCACGCCTCGGGTAATAGCACAATTCTAACCTCCCCTTGAGCGTATAAAAACAACTATTTCTCTCAAAGCAGTCATTAATACTATATTATAAGATGATGTTTTATTTGTTTTAAAAAGTGATGTTTTACAGCATGATTTTACTAATGACCGGTCATTAGTATTTGATTATGACCGGTCATTAGTAAAATTACGTGTTAGGCAAAATGAAAGCCTGGTCATATACGCTCTCAACCAATCATTTGATTAGGATCCGCTTCATCATCTTATAATGTTGGTTATTATTATTAGTGGTAAAAATAATAGCAGTATATATGAGTATTATCATAAGTAGTAATAGTATTAGTAGTATTGGCATTAGCATTAGCACCACTATCGGTATAATTATTAGCAGTAACGTTAGCAATATCATTAGCACAATAGAACGGTAGTTCTCGAAAAGATGACGTAGCCCCCTTCCCGTGACCATACTCGTCCTCTTGATGTATGTTCTGTTTACTTCGTTCATGGAGAAACGGTTGGGAAAATTCAAAAAATTGTTTTGGAAAATTTACGCACAGTGACGCCTTCAATGAAAACCATGAATATCTTTGTAGGTTGAGATTTTTGTTCAGGATTTTGTTGCATGTAAGAGGGTTAGTACAGTAGAAGGAATATGTAATAAGTAATATTTCATACATAAATTTATTTATGATGTTTTATGATAAGGTGCAATAATACTGGTAATAAAAAACAAAATGCATGCTCATTTATTACTTCATGATGTATTTCAATCAGGAAATATTGGCGAAGTGCCGACGATAGCGGATATTTAATATTAAGAAAAGCAATGAGACAAATGACATTTGTTTGAAAAATGGTCTACAATGCTGCAATCAACTGTATCTTATCATGCATAGTATCTAACTGTATCAAGGTTAGTTGTGAGTTACTGTTTATTGTTAACCTATTATTGATTGAAGTAGGCCTAGTGAGTATGGCAATGGGTACGAGACGTCAGGGGCATAATTTGGATGCAGCCATTGTTATGGACCGTTGGCGGATCCTAGGGATACAGGGGAACATGCCCCATGCCCCCCACCCCCGCAAAAAGAGGGAGCAAGGGAGTCGAAGAAAAGAATAATACACAAATATGATTTTCCACTTTTAAAAATGAAACAATAGACTGAAATTGAATTGAAATTTTAAAAAAGGTTCTACATTGCTGCCATTAACTCTAATAAGTAATATTGTAATGTATTTACCTATACAAAATTATTTGTAAGCTACTGTTTATGGTCAAGTTATTATCGATTGAATAAGAAACCTGATGGCTCGAATTCACAAAGGAGGTTTGTCGGCAAAGCTCCTTTTGTTCCGCCAAACCTCCTTTTGTTCTTTACAAACCAGGTTTGTAAAAAACGCGTCATAATTATGACGTACGAAAACCAAGGTTTGTCGACAAACCTCCTTTGTGAATTCGGGCCATAATGTTTGGGAGGTGGAATTAGTCGTATATGTTACAGTGTGTGGTATAATTCAAACACGCTGAATGGCATAATCGAACGTGCTATAGACTATATACCAAGTTTATTAAAAGTGACAGCTCCACAATTTTATATGGATTTATTAGAAGATTGGGTGAATACGAGACATATAAGGAGTATAGACATTGGTGATGTGGTAATTTTTAATAATAAACTTATTCGATATAAAGGAAGCTGTATATACGATAAGAGGTTGTATGACAAAGGAATTTACAAATTAAAACATATTCTGGAAAACGATGGTAAACTAAAATGTGACAGGCATTTTATCGATTTAGGTGTTGAAGTAAATGAAATTGAAAAGATCAAGCACTTTTATGCCTGTTTACCAGTTTGTTGGAAAAATAATTTTAGAAAGGGAGAAGAAAAAAATAATTTTAGAACTGATTTCACTTTGGGGAAGAAAACAACTAATATAGCTGATCTAAAATCAAAACAAATTTATGTACAATTAATAAAGAAATATGATTTTAAACCTTTGGTTTTTGAGAGAATTGGAAGGAACTATGGTTTTTCCTGTAAGGAAATAGAAAACATATTTTTAAGACTAAGACAGTGTACACTTAACAGTCGATTAAGAGAGTTTCAGTTCAAACTTATACATAATATATTATATACAAACCATCACCTCTTCCGTTTTGGTCTTGTCTCGACTAACTTATGCTCATTTTGCGAAAAAGATGAAGAAACATATAAACATTTATTCTATACTTGTGAATTTGCACAATCAGTGTGGGGAATGTGCACGAGATTTTTAGACTTTGAAATACATAACTGTAGTTTGGAGGAAATTCTGTATGGGAAAGAGAAGAGAAATAAAGGAAAATATCAATTAATGAATCATGTTTTAATTCTTGTTAAATATCTGATTTATAGAAATAGAGAACTTAAAAAACCACCCTCTTGTAATGAAGTAAAGAATAGTATAATAGGGGATAAAGTAGAAGAAAGGAAATTGGCAGCAATGAGGGGAACTCTCACTATTCATTTTTCTAAATGGGAAAACCTGAGTATTAGACAAACAATTGGAACCCAGAGCCAGTCGTCCACCGGTTAAGAGGGGGGGGGGGGGGAGGGGGATAAGGGAGAGGTCAGATAGGGTAGGGTTAACAAAAAGAGAAAACTTTTCTCTCAGGACAACAGTATAAAAGAAGTATAAGTTGCTACATTGTTGAAACAAAATGTTTGGATTATACAACTGCATATGTTTTTTTTGAAAATATGAATTTTTGTTTCAAACATAATGTATAGGAACTAACTATGTAAGTTTCTTTTGAAGCCGTTTGTAAGACAAAAATTTATACTGATTTATAATGTCATCACATTTGCAGTGAGCGTTACATAAGATGATTGTAATTTGTACTATGATTATAATTTGTTTCAAGAGAGAAAAGAATAAAAACTGACAATAAAAAAATAAAAAATTATTAACTTTTGAAAAGTGTATCGATATTTTCTAAATTGGAGAGTGAATACAAATTATGTCTTTTACAAATATTTGACTATACTTGCAGGTGAATTTGCCTAGAAATATGAACATTAAATTAAATTGTGATATTGACTTGATAGATTCAATATGATTTGTTCTGGTGTTCTACGACTAGCCATGTTTGACGAAATTTTTCTTCATAAATTATGTTAACCGTCTTGAAAACTCCCACCACACATACACACCGTCCCAACCTCCCC